CTGTGGTAAATCTGTAGTAAATACCCATTGGAAAATGTTGACAGGTTAATTGGGCTCATAACTGTGAAGGTAATGAGACATTTCTGCAACTGTTTAGATCAGCTTTGTCAGAACGAAGTCTGTTGCAACAGCTACACATTTAATTCTACAAAGAACATGCGGAGAATAAATCGACTTTCAGGCTTGAGGAGGTGAATTACAGTGCAGGAGGATAATTACCATAGCAGAACACCTACTTAGAAACAAAAATCTTTTGTGGTGCACAAACACCTGGAATACAATTATGTTGAAAATTAATGTTGAGTATCCAATAAATATGAATATTGAATAAAATAGTGATACCATGTTGAGCTATGATCTTATGAGAATTTGCATTCTCAGCAAGGTTGAAGAAGGGCAGTATTCAAACAGACTTCCAAAATGTTTTGAGGTGATGCTGATGGTTTACTAAGCATCCATCCGTCCCCAAGGCCAATGAATAACTGTGGAGCTACTCACATCTACATTTTCTCTACAGTCCCCATAAGCCTGGTAGGTGAATGAAATGCAAGTATCCAGAAGGTCTGCTTTAGTTAGAAGTATATATAAATCAGAGCCACTTATAATGACTAAAAGTAATACAAAAAAGCTAAGACAAACTTTGAGAGCTGGACTGATAGAACTGAGCTGTTTTCCATAACTGCCTTGCACAGAACGTTGCCAATTTTGGGTTCAGGTAAGTACCTATAAATTGGCAAATTGTTCTTCTGTGCAGTGAGCATTATTTCTCAGATACGATAATCCTGTACCTGGTTTAAAACCTAGCAAGAGTATAGTGTTCTGAGGAGAATATATACTATAGTTCAAGTCTGTCTAGGTAAAATAAACCCAGGCAGGTGACATGACAAAGTATTGAGCTTTACAACACAGTTTGGTTCCCTTTTCATCATGACACTGAATGTTCCCGTTCATCAAGGGTACTTTGGAACAAAGGGAATGCATTTGAAAAAAAAAAAAAACACTAACATTATTCTGGAGTCACCCAATCTATATGAGATTTGCTGTAGTTTTCTTGGAATGCAGAGTTGAGGCTATAACACAATCTAAGTTATACCTCATCTACAATGAATGGCTAAAAAGAGGTAGGAATTACAATACTATCAGTCACAAGCGTATGACAGTCTCAACTTCCACGGTACTACCCTAAGATCAGGGAATCTGAAAAGAAATAAGGGGTTCACAGGGTTTGTTTTATTTGGTGTACAATTGTTGAGCCTTTGTGACAGACTTTTAATCTTTTCTCTACAGTCATAAGGCTCAGAAACTTTCATTAAGAAAGAAGGAAATAAAGCTTTCACCTAACAGCAGTACTGAAGGAACTAAAACTTTTTCTTGTATAAGCCAGCTGATCATTACTTCCTCTGAATTATTCCAAAATAAATTATGTCTTTCAGTGGTTTATTGTCTTTCAGTGGTATTCTGAGTTCTTCCTTTATTCTTATTTTTATACTTTATAATCTTAGACACAACCACTGCGCACATCTAATCGGACCTAAAATATAGGTGATGTAACGCTTCTCTAAATTCCTGCTTCCTTGAAACAGAGAACAGCCTTTACGGGGGAAAAAAACTACACCCCATATTTTCACTATTGATCAAATAATTTCAAGTGAGAGATAGTCCTTTACAATCTTTTGAAAATTATCACAGTGGTTATCTTCACCATTCAAGTCTGAGCTCTTCTTCGAGAATGGCTTTATTTATGGTAAACTTTCAACCATTTATTGCCTCTTCTTACACCACTGTTTATTGGACTGAAGACCGACTGCATTCCCCATGTATATGCTCACAAACTGTGGTCTAGTAATACCATAAAATAGAAGACTGTGTTACATTCATTATTAATCCCAAAAGATTCCATATAGCTTTTGTTCTTACAGTTAATCACTGTTCAGATCTTTGTTGCCTTCTTGCTTCTTGCACTGAGTTGCAACTTAACTCTATAATTCACATAATTTTAGTCTAAGAACTGCTGCTGCTGTGAAGGATAGAAAATACCTCTAGAACAACAATTGTCAGGAAAATAACAGGCTTAGTCAAAATATAAAGTATTCCAAATGAGATGTTCAAAATAACTCTAACAAGAATCCTAACCTATTCACTCTTTTGAGGATAAAACACCCTGGGGGCCAAAGAAGTTGTTTTTGTTTTTTTACCCTGTAGACTGTTCTGAGACCTGCTGTATCTCTTAAGTGCACTGATGTTATGTCAAGCTGTGACTGAAACACTTTCTATTAAGGTTAGCGCTAACACTATGATATAATGGATCTTTTCCATTTCTAGCTTCTATATGTCTTCCTGTAGGCTGAAACTTTGAAATGAGCGTGCTAAAATGGCAAAAAAGCTCTGAGGAACACATAGCTACTGTGCATTGTCAGTCCTGCAAGCCATTCCTTTCTTTAATGTATAATTAAATTGTGGGACTTATTGCCATGAGATGTGATGGAGGTCAAAAGTATTTTAAGTGAACTGAAAAAGAAGTAAAAAAAAAAAAAAGAACTGAAAGTCCATCTGTAACTGTTCTATCCAATGGTCTGGATGTAACATCTTCTAAGAACAACATCTGATTCAGGAAGTCCTCAAGTCACTGACTGCTGGAAACTGGACAGAATCGTTTGGTACATGCCCTGTTTCTTACACCGTTCCTGTTAACCGTCTGCTGTTGATCACTATTAAGAAGAGTACACTGGGCTAAAAGGACCTCTGGCCTAAGTCAGTATGGCTGCTTTTATGTTCCAGTGAAGCTTAAGATGGTGACAGCCACATGGTCTGATCTGTATGGCAGCATGCTAACACGAGTGTCCTTCTCCTCCTCTTTCCAGAGCTGCAGGCAGAGTAGCTGTTGGTACTGGTGCTGCTAAAGGCGTTCACTAGCTTTGTGGCTGGCTCACGAGCCTGGAGACATGCATTGTCAAGGTGTTAAACATCCCTTCACCAACACTTCTGTACATGAAGGACTGGGACTGTGGCACAGAGACGACCAAACGGGCCTAGAAGAAATGGGCCACCGGACAGCACGAAAGCACAGGAGTTTTTGAGCTAGACTCTCGAGTTCATAATTTCTGTTGATTTTTCTTGCCATGTGCCAGGCATCCCTCAGTGTGCCATAGGAAAACATCCCAGAATGCACAAATCTGGAACCAAAATATCTTCAACTTGCCTGGAAATATTGCAAGCTTAATATCTCAGAGGTCCTCACTGCGTGGAGACAGTGATTTAGATTGCAGTAGA